TTGAAATATAATTTATGGGGGGAAAGATTCTAATTGAGAGGTGGAGAGAAATCTATATGTGAATTTGCTGCTCGTAAAATCGCTGCATTCAAAGCATGCGACAATAAATTAGACATGTAGGAAATTATGCACATCATTATTCGAACACCCCTAGCCAATATTTCAAATTTACTGTAGAATTATGTGCCGGAAACGTCTGAAAATTTGATAGTGTGGTTAAATGGGATTGACCAAACAGTTGAACAGGAATTGACTAAAAAAGGTCAATTGAACCATTGACCAATCGAATTGACCAAACAGGAAAAACGGAAAAAATGGTTCAGTGGAATAATTAACAAATAAACGGAATCATAGTGAATAAGTAAATGAAGGGAAAAGTAATGTAAGGCAATACTCAGACTGCGGATAATTAGCGAGAAAATGTTAAAGGAGGTGAGAATTTCACAAGGAAATTTAAAGAACGCAAACGCGAGGAACCTAGAAATAAAAGCTATTACTCAGGAAAACTGAAGTAGTTCGAAATATGTGGGTGTGATATTTCGAACAGAATAACGAGGAAGTAGTCACCATTTTCGCGTTCGAAATTGTCAATGCTTCAGAGGACGATTTATTAAGGGAAGATGGGGGACACCATATGATGCGGAGTACATGTTTAGTTTTGAAGGGAATGTGCAATAATGTGGAAGCAGAAGCATTGATAGACACCGAAGCAAATATCTGTGCCATTTCGGAAGAAGTGTATGTTCGGATGAAACGCGAAAAGATTGAAATTAAGGAACTGCCAACAAGGAAGCGATAGATATTCTCAAGCTAACGGCAAATGCATAGAAATAAAAAAACGACAAACGTGGGTGGAATTTGAAGTGCAAGAGTTTATGCTCAAATTTCCAGCTGTTGAAATAAGAGGATTGATCCGTCCGATCATTAATGGTAGAGACGGTTTAAAGATGTACGGAACCATCGTCATCATGAGTAATGAATGTGTAATATCACGGGAAGACATCGGGTATCCACATTGTTTAAATGTCGAAAGCTAGGCGGGCGAATTGATACAGATATGTGACACGGCGGAGCAAATTTACGAACCTAGAAATCTATTCCACGCAGCGACTAAACATTCGATAGATGAAGATGGGAAAAAAATGCGAACAGGCAACAGAAGCATTTTGGGAAAATTATAAGGAAATTTCGAAGATTCTAAGCACTCAGTCCAAGAATATCAATTTCAATTAGTGTTGACAGATAAGCCCGTTCCAATGAAAACAATATCCGGTTCCACACATGCAAAGGCCCGACGTTAGGAAACTAATAGAGAAAACACTTCAAGATGAAGTTATAAGAAAAATCAATGACTCCGTATGAAAGCACTATAGCTGTCGTACGAAAAAGAATAAAACGACAAGATTTTGTCTTGACTCTCGAAAGTCAAAGAACGTAACTATTTCTCGATATAAAGCACCACAAAAGTAGATGACGGAGTGTAAGGGCGATGGAATAAAATTCGTATTAAATTATGTGTTGAAGAAAGCCATAAAAATAATAATAAAAATGTCTTTATTAATGGCGAGGCTCAGGCCATAGGGCCTGCTCTTCATCATATACGAGAATACCACATACGCCTCATATACGAGAACGCATCATCACGAGAACGCCATACGCATCGCATCATATCGAGAACGCCATATACAAGAATTTGCAAGAAGCGGCTGAAAAGAGAAAGAAGAGGCAAATCTGTTTTTCAAAAAGGTCTATGTAACTGGTGATAATGCCATAACCAGTCCCGCAAACGTCTTCACCAGATGAGAAATTGTTTTGCAAATTCTTCCCTCTTTATCAAGGTCCGAATAAAGATAAAAAGATATTGAGGAAAAATATTACTTTAATAAATGACGAAGGACAAGAAATAGGGACATATAATGACAGGCACATTAAACCGTATCAACGGACGCAAGATATCCATTAAATAATTTGTGAATAGTAGTATATTAGCGGTGATGAAATATTTGTCGCAACTATTACAAAATGTAGATGCGCTAGGGGCGTTAAAAATTAGTAAAAAGCAGTAAGCAACACTTACAGAGCTTATATTATGTACATATTTGTTAGATTTAATTTTAATATTCAGGATATTGTGTAACTATATTATAGATTGGTATAATTAACATAATTTTTAATTTATAATAATTTATTAATTTATGATATTTTATTCAATTTATAATACAATTACCAAGAGGACAGTCGAAACGAAAACATTTGAAAAACTCCAAGATAGGAAAACATAAAAAGGCGTAATTATATAGAATCAAAATCATAATGAAATTAAAGATGGCATAATATGTTTAACGTAAAGGTAAATGATCACGAAAAATGAAGTTACTTATTAGTCCATCGAGAACAATCAAGAGATCAAAAGTGTAGTGAAGTGACGCGAGTGCATCGCGTAGTGTTCAGTGCATCAAGAACCCAAGATGTACGCACCAAGATCTTTTCAGATACACGAATATTTTATTGTAGAATATATATTATAAATATATAATATTAGATATTTATAAATATATAAATTTAATTACTTTAATGTCCTCTATTCTAGAGATTACTAATGTACTTCAAAACTTTTAGTCTTGACATTCATAGTTAAAAATAAAAGGAGGAATAAATTAGATATTGGAGGAGGTACAGGAGAAAAATAAGCTGGAAGATATTCGAAAAGAGAGAGAGCACGTTGTCACAAACAAACAACGCAGCAATAAGAGGCAGGAGAAAAGATGAAGGGCGGTAGAATAAGCCACGTCTTCAGTCGCCCGTCACGTAAAATGACGAGCTGTGAGTCGCCTTCCCACGGGTGCCGCTTCGTAAGAATAAAAAATCAACTCGCCTGTTGTTCGGTTTGAAAAATTCTGTGCGCTTTCGCGTTTGCTTCCCCGGGCGTCGTCAGTTTTAATAATGCCACTAACGCGGCGGCGGCGGCCGGTGCAGGAGGCGGGGGCGCGAGCCGGTGGTGGCGGCGGCAGCGGTAGCAGAAGCGGAAGCCATGTTTCGCCTCCGTTGCCCCCAGATGGCGCCGGTGCGCGTCGTTGCACGATCATCCTCCCTCCCCCCTCTACACTCCCCAACCTCCCCGTCATTCCAGCGCGCGCCGCAGCCCCCGCCATCGCCTCACCACACCACACCCACCTTGGCCTCGTGCTTTTCGCCGCTCCGGCCTCGTCGTTACCTTTCTCCGTCGATCATGCTCCCAAACTAGCTACGCTACGACCCTGTTCACTGCTCTGCTCACATCACCGATGCCCTCGTCCCCCTGGTGAGGTTATCTCTGCCCTCACCCACAACTCCACTCTCACTATCAACTACACTCTCACTCTCAACTACACCTTCAGTTTCAACAACCCTCTCCCTCAACATCATCTTCAACCATGTCTTTCCACCACCGGAAAAAGGTGGCTCAGGGCATCAACTGATTTCACTGCAGTGCCTTTTACAGGTAAATCTTGGGATTTGAGTCTCGGCGGCGGTGGGATTTTCAACACTAGCTTGTCAGCTAGCTCGGATTCAGCCGCTGTGAGGAGAATTCTAGCGGCCGGATGCTCTGATCGATATTTTCCGTGATTTCTTCCATCAACACCAGGCGAATGCCGGAGAAGCATCCTAACAAACGAGACACGGACCGCGTGTGATCTTTCCTTCCTCTTCCTCGTCATCTTAATTTGCAATTATTTATACTTACACGCACTACACTCCCGCATATGCGGCACCCCCCGCGATAAAACATCCAATACACTTACGGTACAAATGACCTTAGCAGTTCGGAATCATCAATCAATTAACTCTCCCCTCGAGCAACAAACTCCGCTTCGCGTTGAAATGCATCCTCTCTCTCAATTAGACTCCCCCTCTCTAACCCTTGTTTCACCTTCGTTAGCCTTTGCCTCTGGCTGCGCCTCCTCCTGTCTTCTGCCGCGATTCGGCCCAGCCCACTGCCTCGCTCTGCTCTTGTCCCCCTCGTATTTTGCCCCTCGGGCAAGAAATGCTTTGCCGTTTCGCCCCCCCCCCCTTCCAAGCCCCTTCACGCGGAAGATATTGAAGACACGAGGTTGAGCCGTGTGGCATCAGGGTGGTCCAACATCTTCTTGGAAGCCATTTCGGTGGGGTTATTCTTACGAAGTAATGATTTGCTCTGAATTGAGCTCTTAAAAATAAGTTAAAAAATACAATTAATCTGCTTGTTTACGATATAAATTGAGGTTTAATCGCTAAATTCAAGAGGTATAAGGCATATCTCTTTTAAGGAAAAATAATCAAAATTTTTATAAATTAGACTATTGGTATTTCTCATTTAATTAAAAAAAGCTTTTCAACTGTGTGCAATCTTGTACAGTAACGTGTGAATCAACTTGGAATGTGAATTAATATTTGAATGCTCTCAGTTTACATTTAAGTTTGGTTCATTTTATATGTTCTTCAGAATGTTTCATGATAAATATCTCCATCTATGGAACATCCACGTTTAGCATTCTGAAGAGGAATATAAATTTCATATTGAATTTCCACATAGATTCTACCTGATTCATCTCTGTATGGAATATGTAACAATTTCATATCATGTTTGTAAAATGACAGATTTCATGTGCTTTCCATATCTGAGCGAAATTTAAAAGAAAACAAACAAACATGAATTTACATAGCGCACACACACTTACTCACACGGTAAATTTACTGTACCCGTTGTACATTAAATCAGGGTACAAGACCTGCTAATCGATACGATCGCTGCGGACATCGGTCATTAGCATCCACAACATGCCCAGCTTCACAGCACTCGCCGTCATAAGCAAAATCTCTCAAGCGCGCTTAGTACAGCATTACGTTCGCCTGCCTTGCTTGGAAGCTCGCTAAACCCGTGAATATTCACATCCGATGAAAAACGGCCTCTGCAGAAAGCAGATATGGCTGTGTAGACACACCCACGCGCTAAGCAAACAATTCGTAAGCCACCACGCACCTGCAGGTGTTGGGTCTGTCCTTGCACCCAGCTCACTGGAAAGTTCACGCTTGCCGAGTCGGCTAGCAGAACGCGGGCACAAGGCGAGCAGTGGGCTGGCAAGCGCCGACCCGGTCTGTGGCCCTTCCGCCAACCAAAAAATTCTTCGTCAGGGCGTTGCAGAAGGATTTGCAGTAGACAGAGTGAACACCTGGAATACGGGAGAGAAAAAGACAATCCATGATGCGGAATTTACAGGTTTGTGTTAGAGCTAATGGTGGCCTTCTCGAGAATTTTTTGAGAACCAGAAGGTGTCTGTAACTTAGAAATCATGGGAAATAGACGACATTGTTTCTCTTGAAGTATCCCATTCGTTTCAGAGAGTAATCCCCCACATTACAAAATAAAAAGCAGATGCGAAGTTGTAGTTGCAACAGCAAAAAATCGAAATTATGTGAAGCAGACCGCCGATGGGTTGCGAATTAGGGGTTGCGTGATTGCATGAACACAGTCCGAACTATCACATGCATTTTACCCCTTGAAAATATTTCTTGAACGAGGAAAACTATTGCATGTAGCGCACAACCGATTTGCATGCATCAGAATTTTAACCCTTGTGAACGACAGCTAATACGCTGATAACGAAAGATACAAGTGTACTCACACGAAAATAAGAAGTTAAACAAATTTCTGCAAACAAAAGAGTAATTTATGAAATCAGATGAAAGGATCAAAAGTGTTCCACATATTACTTAATGATTACTGCATCAGATTTATAAAAACATGTAAATAAATAAATTGTGTGCCTGAGATCGACCAATTATTATATTGGATATTTATTTACAAATACACTAAAAAGAGATTTCACGTTTTTAGTTGCTGTAAGAAACAGGAATGGTTTTAATTAATTTTCAGGCAGATGCTCTCTGGCTGTTTTTAGTCCATAACGGAAAAAGTCTGTTCACAAAAGTACGTAGAATCAAAAACAGATAGGCGGGAACTAATATCGCAGCATTGTCGGGGCCCCAGATGTGCGCATTCTACTCCACTGCAACACCTCCCCCCCCCTCCAGCACGAGAGGCTCAGGACATCAACTGATGTCGCTGCAGCGCCACTGAGCAGAAGCTCCTTGGGATCGAGTTGCGACAGCGGTAGCATTTTCAGCACCGGCTAGATAACTAGGTCGACTTCAACAGCTGTCTGGAGGATAACTGTAGCAGCCAGTTGCGCCGATCGGCAGTGCTCCGTGGTTTCTCCGATCAACACTAAGCAAATGCCGGAGCGGTTCCTTAAGAAACGGGCCGTGGACCGCGCGTGATCTTTCCTCCCTCTATCTTGTCCTATCCTCACCCCTTTAACGAACATTAACTTTCATTCACTACACTACCAAACATTTCGAAAGACCGGGGCCAGTCCGGATGGCCGAGATCGAACCAAAGGATCGCGGGTTCGAGCCCCGTCTCGGGCATGGTTGTATTGTGTTCGTCCTTTCACACCGCTATCATCACATCGTGTCATCCTCATAGTTACCATACCGTTACACGCAATAGTGGTCGCTAATGACCTAGTAGTTGATGCGACCTTAAATTTAAAAAAAAAAAAACATGCGAGGGGACACATGCAAAAGGTGTCAATTGATGGACTCGGCTCGAAAAGAAGTCTTTCCATCGCGCACCCCCTAAGGTTGCTGTACAAATACGGATTGACATTCTAGTATAATTCTGTTTGTGCAGTAGCGAGGCAATAATTCGCTGTAATGCTAATTTGCAGTAATATTCTGTGAAAATTAAGTAAACTAAGAGAACAAATACGCATATGGTTCTTCGCGATCGTATCACAAATCTAGAAGAAGTAAGTCTTGTCCGTGCGTAGAACACGTGGTGCCTCAACAGCACCTCTTGCATTATTTGTAACTGTTGCCATTTTCGAAAATTCACAGAGTTTAATCAAAGTTAAACTAGCTCTTTTTTAAATCATTGATATCGAAGAAATAATTAAAGAACATTTTGGAGCCGTTTTTTAGAAATCTAGTTTTTAAAATCGCTATTATTTCGTGTAAAGTTACAAGAAAACTACTCATATTACGAACAAATTGTATAAGACTTCATTTAAAGATTTAATTTTGAAGGACAGATTTCATTAAGAAAAAAATCTATATCTTCAATATTGTGGTCGTAGAAAGACGTTGAAAAAATTCTGATCCTTTGCAAATTTCGAAAATTCAAAGAATTGAACGTAAATTGGACTTCCGCCATTTCAATATTCGTACTTTTCTCTGCCTGAGACAATAAAATAGAGCCATTGTGGGCAAAATTTTGAAAATATATTTGAAGCTTCTCAGAGAGTACCTCCCAAAATCAAAATTGCCATTTAAAAAGTTCAAGGTGCAGCAACGTAGCCAGATAGATCGGGGAATATCAATTTTGGTGAAAATTCTGTGTACGGTGTAGCCACAAGCGTATTCCAAGGCTGACGGACAGGCGAACAGACGACTGACAGACGTTATGCCGTAAACAAATGTTCGGTTTCAAGGATCCACAAATCATGGATTCTGACTACGCAGTGCATTAGAGAAAGTTGCTTACTACAAATGGGAACAAAAATTATCCATTTCGTCCAAACTTGTTGATATGTAAAGAAATCGCCGCTTTGCTGCAGCATTACAACAATTTCTTTGTACTATGTAAACAGTATACGAGAAAGTTAAAAGAACACGTGTTAAGACCAAAAACGTATCTCGCGTTAACTCTATTTGTATTATTTTATTTCTTTATTTTCCATATTTTTTTTAAAAATGTGTCTAATTGTGAGGATTGATTGTCAAATTTTTGATTAACAAATATTAAATAGGACATCAATTTTAATCTATTTTGTAACAAAATCAGCTCTCATTTGACCTGAATGTTAACCAGACAAAAAATGTTTATATTTCCGTTTTTTCGTATGTGTTCCGTATTTACACCAGAAGAGTATTCACCAAGATCATTATTTTAATAATTCATTTACCGAAAAAGAGAGAACACAACGCGAAAATTCAATTAGGAATTCAATTCAAATTCCATTTAGATTCCACTCGCCTGTAATTAACCGCACTCAAGGATGGCTAAGAAGCCGTTTTCAGAGGAGAATGCTCTCAACTCAGAGTGCTGTGAAGTCTTAAAAAGTATGTTTTTTTTGCTTCCTAAGATAAAAGGAATCAAAACAAAATCTCGCGCAAAAATATGGTATATCTGAATCCTATGATTGAAAAAAATAATTAGAGTGCTTCTACCTCTGTGGGTATTACTGCTTTTAGTTCTAGAAGTCTGAAATATAAATGAAGATTAATTGAAAAAGAGAGAAAACAACCTTAAATGGCGAATAGTTTTATTATTCGATGAATCAAGAAGGAATCACTTAATTTTCTTTTTTAAATCTGGCTTTTGCTATGCTTGGTTATAAATATTTTGTGTTTTAAATTGAAATTGCGACATTTTTACTTCAATATGAATTACGAAGTATTAATTCTTTCATTTTCGAAAATACTTTTGAGATGCGTTAGGTATGTCACCTATTTCAATTTGAGCTTAACGTGGAAGAAACAAGTAGTACGTAATATACTACATGTCAAATACGAAATATTTTCTATGTAGTTTTAGTTCCGTTTCTTACCATTCGAGTTAATAGATGCAATACCGTTAATAAAATTGTGACATTGAACCTTTATTATTATTCCTTTATTGAAGAAATTCCAACCAAAAGAGAATAAAGAGAACGGGAAAACTACACAGAAGGGAAAAGAGAGTAAAGAGAAAAGAAACCTCTGAATGAATCCAGAAAAAATATAAATACAAACTCTTCATGATATTCACAGCAAGTCATAATACGAGAGAAGATGATACGAGAGATACAATATAAGAAAATGTTTTCTTATTATTGTTCTTTAAATGTGAATTGCCTTTCCTTCCGTATTAAATAAACGAAACGAAATTTTACAAAAATACTTTGGAACAGTATTCCAAAGAGAATTTCTAATCCTGCAGTTTTAAAAGTTCATTGCAGTAACAAACAATACATACGTTGATATTATGTCTACATTTATTAATTAGGATTCTTTGAATACTTCAAAATCAAACTCTATAAGAATTCTTAATGTCTCATTGTGATACATTTTTTAACTGGTCAATACAATAAACAACTAGAAGTTGTCATTAACCAGTAAACCTTTCTTGATCTTCTTGTTAATCGTTCGTATCAGCACTTTAGTGCATTAATTCCTCCGACATTTCGTCGAGAATTTACAAACTGCGCGATACATCTCTCTTATTTCCACAGAACGAATTACGCAATCGCACAGAATGGAGGGCGACATTTCAATATTCAGCAGTTAGCGTTAACGTGCAACTGTCGGCTCCCCAATCCCATTTCTCCCGGGCTTTGGGCAATTTTCTGTCTGACGCCCGCTCCGCGGTCCGACCAATCAATCTCACCCCTTTCGCGGCCCCGTCCCCACACCACCTTCGCCGTCGCCCCGTCCCATCGGCCCTTGGCCACATTCCACCCCGTCCCGCCCCTCGCCCTTCGCGCCTTTCTCCCTCCGCGCGCTTTCAACCGAATGAGGTGGCTCAGACCGACTGTTGGCCTGAGCCACTTCAGCCGGTGGAGGACACGTGGAGGGAGGACAGGAGGGATCGAAATGAGTTCACTTTACTCTTCCCTGCCTGAGCCTCAGGTAGACAGTTGCTGTTGGCGTTGCAGTGCCTCTGATTAGGGGACCAGGATTTCCGATGGTGGCGGGTTTTCGACACCAGCCAGATAGCTAAATTGAATTCAGACACAGCCTGGAGGAGAATACTTACGGCTGTCTGCTCTGATCGGTTGTTTTCCGTGGTTTCTCCGATCAGTATCTGGTGGATGCCGTAGCAGTACCCAAACAAACGGGTCACGGACCGCGCGCGATCTATTCTACGTCTTCCCCTTGTGTACACACACTTACGTGCACGCTGGGAGCTTAGAGCTTGTGCCCGCTGAGCCAGATACCGGGAAGGAGAAATCCCACCCAAGCCAACGTGTAGATCGGCGCCGGACCTCATCATCCAACTTAAGAAGGAACACCGCCGCCTTCCCATTTTTAAAAACAAACATTACGGGGCTAACAGAACTAATTTGAGACGACTTGCCTGGAAACAATAAGTGATTCCCTATCGTCACACATTCCATTACTACACTAC